TGACTTTTTGTCATCTCCGCATATGCCCCGACAGACTGCAGCCTGGATGTAATCAAGGATGAGTTTTACCACCAATTAACTGTTCTTCTCCAGAAAGTGCGTTCGACAGATATTGTAGTACTAGCCGGAGACTTCAATGCTCAGGTCGGGCGTCTAGGCACAGAAGAGAGTCGTTTAGGTGGCCGATGGGGACTCGTTGGTCGCAGGTCAGATAACGGGGACCGTCTACTGCAACTTTGCACAGACCACAACCTGTTTCTGGCTAGCACTAACTTTCGGCACAGTCATCGCCGATGTGCCACCTGGCGTCCTCCCTCTGCATCTCAAGCCTGGACTCAGATTGATCACATTGCGATCAGCTACCGCTGGCGTGGTTGTGTAAAAGACTGCCGCTCCTTCTGGAGTACCTATCTGGACTCTGACCATGCGTTGGTCTGCGACAATCTTACCTTACTTTTCAGTGGACAACGAAGTGAGCGTCATTAACGGATTGATATTAGCAAGCTGGTCGCAACTTCTGTTGCAAGTAAGTATCGAACCGAGTTAGCCTCCAGGCTAGCTACCATTCCACCGAAAAGTGTAGATGAGCATTGGTTGCAATTGCATGACGCCATGAAAATGGCGGGTACAGTCAGTTGTGGGTTCGCGAAACGTCCCGCTTATAAGCACTGGGTTTCTTCAGGTTCCTTACAACTCATTGAAGCCCGTCGGTCTACTCCGGGTGACCGTGAGTTTGACCATAAACGAAGGATGTTACGTAAGGAAATTGGGCAAAGCTTGCGTAAGGACCGAGAAGCCTGGTGGTCGAAGCGTGCTAATGAGCTGGAAGCAGCAGCTGCATCTGGTAACTACTGGAAGCTCTTCCAACTCATCCGAGCCACTGGCAGCAAGAAGTCTGGTGTGAGTGAAACAATCTGCGAGGATGATGGGATGCCAATCACTAACATCCATCGACGTCTTGGACGATGGGCAGAATTTTTCGAAGGGCAGTTCAACTGGCCTGCTGCTCCGGCAACATCGGTCAGACTGTCCTGCCCTCCATGACCGGTGACGATTGATCCACCGAACGAGGAGGAAGTCCGCAAAGAACTCCAACTCTTGAAGCGTTACAAATCACCTGGCCCAGATGACTTACCTCCGGCTCTTTTTAAAGATGGTGGTGACTTTTTGACTAAGGAATTGACGACGTTGTTTACAAAGGTTTGGGAGCTAGAGAGTGTACCAACGTCATGGAATGAGTCGATAGTTGTCCCTATCTTTAAAAAGGGTTCACGTCGTTCCTGTAACAACTATCGGGGGATAAGTCTACTTCCGATTGCGTCCAAGCTATTGGCTTCCGTCATACTTCGTAGGTTGTTCAAAACCCGAGAAAGATTGACTCGCGAGGAGCAGGCTGGGTTTCGTTCTGGTCGAGGATGTATTGATCATATCTTCACCCTCCGCCAAATGTTAGAACACCGCCATACTTATCAAAGGCCAACAATCGTAGTGTTTCTTGACATCAGGGCTGCCTTCGATTCGTTGGACAGGACTGTTCTCTGGGATTGTCTATTGAAGAAGGGTGTGCCTGAGAAGTTTATTAACATCCTAAAAGCCCTATATAAAAACACCTCAGGCAGAGTGAGGGCATACAACCACCTTTCTCCATTGTTCCATTCGAGCAGTGGGGTTAGACAGGGTTGCCCAATCTCACCATTCCTCTTCAACTTTGCCATCGATGACATTCTGGAAACAGCTCTGATGAATGTAAGTAATGGCGGTGTGGATCTGTTGCCTGGAGAAAGACTTCTCGACCTTGAGTATGCGGACGATATTGTCTTACTGTGCGATAATGCCCAAGCCATGCAATCCGCACTTAATCAGTTGGCAATCAGTGTCCGTAGGTATGGTATGTGCTTTGCACCTTCGAAGTGCAAAGTACTTCTACAAGACTGGCAGGATTCCAATCCTGTACTCACCCTGGATGGTGAGCAGATAGACGTAGTTGAGAAGTTCGTGTATCTGGGTAGCTGCATAAGTGCTGGTGGGGGTGTGAGTGATGAGATCAATGCACGAATAGTGAAAGCCAGAGCGGCTTATGCCAATCTGGGCCATCTTTGGCGCCTTCGTGATGTTAGTCTGGCTGTAAAAGGTCGGATCTACAACGCGTCGGTGAGAGCAGTTTTGCTCTATGCTTGTGAAACCTGGTCTCTCCGAGTTGAGGACGTTAGACGACTCTCTGTGTTCGATCATCGCTGTCTCCGAAGGATTGCTGACATTCAGTGGAAACACCATGTCAGTAATGCAGAGGTTCGGCATCGTGTGTTCGGGCACAGAGATGATAATTCAATTGGTGTCACTATCTTGAAACACCGACTTCGGTGGCTTGGACATGTTCTCCGAATGTCGTCCCAGAGAATTCCACGTCGTGCATTATTTGCCGACTCTGGGACTGGTTGGAAGAAGCGGAGAGGTGGTCAGTGCATGACATGGTGTCGTGGCATGAAAGAAAGCTGCAAAGGGCTGGCTTCTGTCGGTCCTTCACGACTCCCTGGTTGGGGTCTGAGAGATGGTGCTACACAGTGGTTAGAGACGTTATCAGATATGGCTCAGAATAGAAGCCAGTGGCGATCCTGCTGTAACCTTCTTTTGCTTTCTTCATAAAAAGTGGTTGTGTCTCCCTACCTGAAAGATTTCTTCTGATTGTACCTTTCCGTTCCCTCATTACTACCACACTACCTTACACCAATCTCTTCGTTATTGTTCTTTTTTTCTTTTGCGCTCCTTAGCTTTTTTTGTTTCTATTTCTCTTCGAATTCTCATTGTTTTGTGTGGCACATATATATTGGCGCTCTCTTGTACCAATATCCATATGTTCAAATAAATAAATAAATAAAAGAGATTTAAAATATTTTCAACAATTCACTGAGTTACTCAAATATTATTTAACTAGTCTCATGCTTTGAGAGGATGATGGCTAGCAGTGGAATCCCGGAAGCGAGTTTCGTCCCATTTGGGACTCGTCAGCTAGATGCACCTACACCTGAGATTTGGTGTCCACTCTAGGACTCGAGCCTGGTACCGATAGCTAGGTGTATAATGTGATGTCCGAATCAAGCGAAGCTGGGTCCGAGTCCCTAATAGGACGGAACGCGCGTCCTGGATTTCACTGTTAGGCATCATTACAATGCTTGTGGCATAAGGCAATCCTCAAAGAATGCGCGTTTTTCAATAAGAGTGATCTATTGCAGTCCTAAACGTCAATGGGAACATTCAAACAACCAATACAAAGCTAAATTAAGTCTCACACTTAATTACAATAACCTAGGTACTTCGAAAAAGTGCAAATTTCTGCCTGAAGACTTTTGTCTGTAAACAATATGCCCTATGCTACTGAGTAACCTAACTCGGCAGTCATGATACAAACTAAATGACCGAGATTCAATCACCAATAATCTTCAGGTCGCTATGCTAACATCTAATAATTGATATTTCCATTTTCAGTCAATTGGAGATATCTCTTACAACCACATTATTTTCTGAAGTAAACAAATCATTTTAATGTGTATTTGGCAGTTGGTTCTTAGTTCTATCTACTATTCTAATGTCTTGGAAATTTGATTTAGATTTAAACTACTAAGTCGAAAGCTATATTTTGCAAATATGCACACAACTAAACAATAGTTTGATTTAGATGTGAGATTTCCATGACCAGGTTGCAGACTCCATTTAAATCAATATCAGTTGGGACTAAAGTACATGACGAGGGTTGAAAGTGAACGAAAGCTAAACAAATATAAAAGATAGATATCTGATATTTCGGTTCATTTAAAAGGATAGAATGACAAAATTATTCATAAAACATAGCCACAGTTTATTATCAAGGGTAACTGGTACGAACCAGCTGTGCAAACCAAAATAAGTGGAGCGAGACTCATTTATGACCTAGTGGTTGGAAGTAAGAAACCTAGGCCACTACTTCACTAAATGAGGTGTTTCTATTCAACGGTTAATTTGGATTTTGGGTAGCAACTTAGTTGTAGACACGCATTTTATTCCACTTGGGATTTACCAGTGTAATGTAACTATTCCCAAACGGGACTCGAACCTAGAACCTCCAATTTAAACCCCATAGTTATTTGTAAACCTTAATCATTCAGCAAAGGAATTAAAGTGATAATAGCAATCGTGAGTATTTGGTTAGACACCAACCTACCATGGTATAGTGTCGGTTATTATGTTAAGTCCATATACCTTATTCTACGTTTCGGACAGCCCATTCTATTCATTCTACTTAAGTCACATTCTAACCTTATTAATTATTCGCTTATCAATCTTGACTGTTTTTATATGAGCACGTAGGTATGTGTACACTTCTTATCCCATTATTCATCACATGTCTGTAACTTACTTTTGTGCAACCATAAATATTGATTAACGCTTGGTTAAAGGGGAGTTAGATTACCAGCCATCTCCACTCTGAGTCCTTCCTCTTCTCTCTATTCCATTCGCTTTATATACAAAATATATGTATTCATAAGTCCATTCTCGTTGTTCGACTTATTTAATTCAGTTATTGTCTAACACGATTTAAGTTGATGATTATATACGAGGATAGGCGATAACAAACATTCATACGATCTAATTGGAGTCAGATCCACGGGCCACTAAAGTGGAGAGCCTTTTCGACAACATCGTTCGATCTAAATGACAACACAAAATAAAGGGCCCAACTAAAACGGTTTATCAAACTAACTAGATAACTACAGTTGTCAGTACACTATCACTTCACTACCTCTGACAGGACTAAACGCTGACACATACCAGTCTTGAAGTGAAATTTTGTACTTAAAGAAATTTTATTGTTACTCAAGGTATTCAGCAGATCATGAATTTTTTCTGGATTCTCAACAAACAGGTCAATCTTATCTTAAAGCTAAAAACTGGTTCTCCGGGTAGAAAGTTAATCTCTCAAAAGTTAGATAAAGAAAATGTTATTCCTAAGTTCATGTCAACAACAAAGTGAGAACAAAAACGTAGAAAGTGAATTATTAAGAAATTATAAAACATAACTATATATTTTAAACTTTAATTACAATGTTACTAAGACATTGAAAAAGTTACTTTACATACGAAAGATACAATCTCTGTACAACATTTGAATGTTTAGATCAATCAGTCAATATGATTAATTTACTGTGATATGTCCAATAGGTGGGGGTTAATGATACAATGATGGGAGAAAATTCCCCTCCCCCCATCCCGACTAAATATCTGAATTTATTACAAAGATAAGTTTTAAAAAAAATCAATAATCTAGTCACTTTCAACAAAATTGTGGTCTCGGTATAAAATTAGTTGTTGATTCACAAAAACTTGAACGAGATGTACGTTTATGAAGTAATGAATTTGATTGTATATTTGGATATTTTAATGGTATACTAGAATGTCGTTGAGTTTTAGTATTACAAAAATATGGATGACGAAGTGCATCATGAGCAGTAATACGTTTCTGTGGGCATGGTTCTAATAGACGAGCTAATAGATCATAAGCTGAAGTGGGAAAAATATGCGTTGAAGATAAAGCAATCACTGGTTTTCCATTAGATAATTCTGTAGTTTGTGCAGAATTATCATTAGTTAAATTAGTTGACTTTATTGTAGTTTTACGTAATAAAGGAGGTAGACCAGCAAATTTTTTCTCGTATAATCTAATTGCAGAACATCTACAAGAAATCATAATTAATAGGACGATATCAAATCTGAAATATTCACTCATACAATCAAGTTTATGATTATTGAAATGATTATGTAAGCGGTAAAGGGAAAAGAAAGTATGAATTAATAATAATAGTATGTAAGAAATCAATAAGATACATATGACAAAGACAATGTAGGGTCTAATTTAATGATAAAAAGGGGATGACAAAAATCCTACTCACTGAAACTCAGGTTTCTGTGTAACAGTACTCTTAAATATCACGGAGAAAAATAAACTGGAAAAAAGGACATCAAAGGAAGTAACCTCTTACAGAGAATCAATATAATATGAATATAATTGTAGCACCGAAAATAGTTATGTCACTTCAACGAACACCCCCTTTGTCACATTTCAATATGTTGATAACTTCAATTGTTCATCGAAAACTTTATATATCACTTAGGCCTACAACAAGAGTCATTAAAGTTTGTTAGCTTGATATAGCTTCACAAAAATTTGTCTCCGTCAATATATTTTTCAGAGCTGATCGAAAATACCCTTAATTGGAACAAACCGAGAAATTAGTTAGTCACTTTATTCAGTGGTTTAATATTTAATTTCAGAGTTGCCCAAATGTCCGCTCTAATAGTTACCGGCAATTGCATATAAGCTCACAATCTGATTGTCTGTAACATTATGATAGAGAAGTTCATCAGTGAAGGGTAAAAGATTTTGAGTCCACCTAGGGGAGTTGGAAAACCCTGATTCCAAACCAACGGTGCACATAGACTCCAGTACCCTGAGGGAATAAATAGTATGTGAACCAATCGTTAGTCACCGGCTACCATGGGACTGCATCTCCTTACGATGCTCCACTGCCTTGTGGATCAAACCGGCGAGACTCTAATTTATGAACGAGCCAATCAGAAGCGTCTTAGAGACTTCAAGGTTACGGCGCCAACTTCAATGCTCAATGCTAACGTACGATCGATTCACAGAGAATTATATACAAAACGTGATAATTGAGCGGCTATAACAAATGAAACGGTGAGACTATAATTTGTGGACGAATCAATCATGTATAAGATAACAAATCTCAGATTTTGACGCGAAAGCCTTTCATTCATTTGGCTAAATAAATTTCTGGCATTATAGCTGATGTCAGTTCGTGATGAAAACCCCATATATAATTTCTAACTAAGGCAAATTACGACAATTATCGTGAACTGGATAATAAAAGCACCAGTAACACTGGCTGCAACCAGGTACTGCAGTATATACGGGTGTTTGGAGAGCATACAGAATCCTACATAGGCTTGGTTATGTGTATCGTGTCGATATCCACAAGTAGAATTTTGTGTACTCAACAACCGGAGTGCACATAAACAATATTGAAGGTATGTAGTCGAGGCTGAGAGTTTTTGAGACTTTATCATGGTTCCAGAGGTCGACTATTCTGTAGCCATATGGATGATTTCCTCTACTGCATGCACTACGATTTTAGAACCTCTGAACCTCTTTCTAAACTTGACAAGTTTTTGAACCACGTAGAAGAAGTGTATCCACTTTATTTCCTTGGTTTCGTATGATATATTTTTACTCTATACTGACTGTTTGCTGATTGACTAATATTCCTCAAGGTCACTTAAGATTCATTCAAAGGTCGTCCATAAATTAGAGTCTCGTCGTATCACAGCCCTCACACAAATCTCATTAGATTTGTGTGGCGCATATGTATCTGATGCCCCCTTGTACTAATAACTATGTGTCTACAGAGACAACTAAGAAATTGATGCTTAAATGTTTACTCAAACAACTCATAAATGCAAGTTGGATTGTAAGATAGATAAGTGTGAACATAAAGTTCAATTATCAACCAGATATATCTAAACCTTACTACAACTGAAAATATTTAAGTTTACATATGAACATATCCAACGAAAACTAACAATTCAAAGTAAAACTAGTGTAATGAATGAAAGCTTCATACACTCCATTATTTAAGAAAGTAACGAAAGGTCTATCTAAAGGTTTTTTATTCAACCAGGTCATTATAATTACAATGGTAGTTGAAAAAATGGATGATTGTGCCTCAGGGGGAATATGGATCTGGTATGAAAATCATACACAATGATATTGATTTTTACGATGAAACCTGGATCCAGTACCTATAGCTTTAAAAACAGTTAACAGATACATACAAAGTGTCCCGAATAGGACGAAACACGTGATTTGGATTCAACTACTAGATAAAATACAAAAACACGATTATCATTCAGTGTTCTAATTTTTTCCTACAACAACGTAATTTTCATGTTGTCATTTTTAAAAAAGAATATTATTTTGTTAAAAGTGAAGCACTTTTCTTCACCGACTAGTAGATGAAAACCATCATACTTCTTTTAAATATCAACCTTTACATCTACCCATGTAAACAACTAATACAGATTATGCTGAGGTGGTATGGAAATAATTGTGTATTTTTAGTCACACAAATCAGCGGTTAGACAGACTATGCGGTTCGAGCAGAATCTCCAACAAGATGCATCGAAAGATAATTGATCATTTGTGTTTTATTCATCCACTTAGAGGCTAATCTTGAATGATAGGAATATAATATGATCAACGATACGATTATAAAGAAGACTGTAGATAAGTGTTACTATCCGAAGTTACAGAACAATAAACTGAACGTAAAATGGATTACCACAAGTAAAATACTGCAAATAAATTCTCATTTTACCTTGTTTTAAGCCAGAGAATAGGTGAATCACTAGCTTCCATAGGTGGTGGTCTAGGATCAAGTAACAGTCTCCTACCAATGCTTCTGGCACCCATTTGCATGCGTTCATATCCAATTAGATGAGTGAAAGCATGAAGTACATCCAAATCATCGTCTACTTTTATAAAAGGATAACGACCAGAAAGGAAAGAAATAAATATAATTCCAACAGCCCATATATCAACAGCAGTTGTTTGTTCGATATGACGCATCATTACTTCCGGAGGTCTAAAGCCAAGTGTTCCGCCTCTACGAACAGTTGGTGCTCGAGGTAAATGTCGACAACCACGACATACAGTGAGACGTGAACCACAAACGCATCCTCCTTGTCCTAAAGATTGTGTTAGGTTACTTGATATTTGTTGAGAGGATTTGATAGATGCACCTTTAAATGATGATTTGTTATCAATTTTTGAAGAATTACACTTATAAGCGAATAATGAGTTTGTAGAATCCATGGAATCTCGTTTATGAGTATAACTGTTTTCTCTGTTTGCTAAATTTACACGCTGGTTATTCTCTGATATGTTAAGATTTGTCTACAGAAAAAACAAACAGATTATATGATAGTCTCAACTAAAACTTGATTCATGAAATAAACAGTATGGTAGGACAATTTTGTCAAGAGCTTCATTTAACAAGTGGCTTTGAATACGCTAAGTTACTAAACTTTAAGCTACGTTTGTTCTATGGAAGCAAATGATACTAGGCGATATGTGACTTGGGACCTGACATATTGTTACTAGGACCAGAAAGAGAACACCAAACGAACCTTCTAGAAGTTGGCAAAAAGAAATTGGTTAAATAATAGTTCTTTCTGATTTAGATAGTTGTTAGTTATTGATAGAGAGTGGTCTGGAAAATCGATAACTAACTACCACGTAGGGAGTCCGGACATTCGACATACAGAATATCCCGAGTATCCTTTAGATATACAACTACCATCAAATTTAAGTTGTCTGGCCTGAAATTATTAATCACTGATTGTGTCACGCACCCTACTAGGAAGTCTGTACCTACTTAGATGGTTTGAACAAAGAAGCAAGGACTCCATAAGCCAATGTCACGCTTTGACCTGCACACTTATTTTTTCTAAACTACTATGCTATCCATTACAGTATTCCGAAATAAGCGGCGGGTGATTAGACATAACGCATGTTTCAGTCATCTCAGGAGACGAATATCTAAAATTTTTTATTAATATAATGCTTGATTTTGTCCTCACTTTAGGATCTTTATACTAAACAATTTTGAAGCTACTTAAAAGACCTGAGACAGGATTTCATTGACCCTCTATGAGTTTTGAAATAAATGACTAACCAATTCAATTAGAGACTCAAGAAACGGTTATTACTTTATCGCAGAAACTAATTTTGTGTAATATTAAAACCATAGTTAAAACGAAATCTTATTTCTTACCCGAGAAAAACTTGAAACTCTTTTCATTAATTCATTTTTCTTTGTATCTGAATCAGAGTTGATTTCAAATTTGCGCTCCCATCTTTCATCAATATCACCAAACTCTTCAGAATGTGCCAGACCAAAATCTACGAGAAAAAATCTAGATTATATGCCAGTTAAACAGACAAATTTTTACTGTTTCGTTTTTTGATCCATAAGAAAGTTTGTAGGCTTTACATCACGGTGAATTACTTTGTATTTATGAACATGAGCTAAAGCTGAGAGGAGTGCGCGCATATATCGTCTGATTTCTTTCTCATCTGCAGTTAGATAATAGTCCTCACAAGAAAAAATGAAGCATAAGAAATAGATATTTCTTAGCCTACTGTGAAAGGGATGTAATCAATAAAAGGCATTAATATGAACACATGATCACGAATCCGCATTGCTGTATGCATTTGAATTACATTATGCTTACCACTGAAAGTATTTTATTGTATAAATGAGTAAACATATATTACCCCAATCTTCTCAGAATACGAATTTCATTCTCAATTCTACGAACATCGACTGTTGGGATAATCATTTTCAAAGCATAATATTTGGATTCATCAGGATCTTGTTTACTTTTGACTGCTAAGACAGAGGCAAATGTACCCTGCCCTTGTCGTTCAGAGACATCGAATAGGTCTGTAATTTGAGGGAACTCAAAAATATACTGCAAGCTTCGGACTTTGCTTTCAATCATTCCAAGAATATCTGAAACAGATATTTTCAAAAAATCAAGTTTAAAAGACATAACTGTACTAGGAAATCACTTACACATAAGCGGTAAAGAGGGTTCACTTGTGCCGTCAGGCATTCACGGATGTAACAAACTAATCTGGAAGTCTCCAAGTACATGTTTATGTTCTCAGCTTCAAGGCACACGTTTTCATGACCATTGATGATGCATGCGTTGCTCCAGTCAAAGAACGAGTGCGGGGCCCAAATACACAACGTAGTGGTTAAAGGTCGACTGATTTAACTATTAAACTATATGAACTTTATATCGAAGAGGATGATAAACAACCCAATGACATACAATTCAAAGGTTTCGGGTTAGTCACTCAGTTACCAACTGATGTAGCTATACCAAGATGAGATATCAATATATATATATATATATATGATTAGGAGCATAAATAAACAAGGTTGTTACTACACAAGTCTTTATTACTAGTTAGCTGCAAAGAAAAAGTATGGTATATTGGAGGCTCTGAGCTAACCGATCAAAATTAAGATAACACCTCAAGTATATCGTGAGAAATCGCAAATGTAATAGTAGATAACTAGCATTTTAATATTAACTAAGTAATATTGACAATGGTTTAGTCATAAAATGTTTCCAACCAAAAAGTCCACGTTAAGTGGTGGTTGAGCAAAATAACAGGACACACCTGCTCCTAAGATGAAATATGTGCTGAAGTACTTGATGTGATACAGTGTTTAGTCAAGAGAGTTTAGATAAAGATAGGTGATAACTTTCCTTTACTACTCTTGCTCTGAATTTCAAGCCCGTTGTTCTTTTCAATTGAAGAGTGAAAAAGCACTTCATTGTAGCTGTTATAGACTTATTACGAGAACACGGATACTAACGTTTAAAACCAACAAAAAGCCACATTTTAATCCTTAATATCTGACTACAACAATTTTAAGTGACAACTGATGTCATTGAGAGTCAGTGACCAAAACTCTGTAGGGTGATTAATCTAAACCACAGCGCTAGTTCGAGTTCTAATATGCAAACCTGACTTATGTCTTTTACTATAACGGATAATTTGATATGTGAGAGTTAATTATTCAGATCAAGACTGTTATTCTACTATTATATTTATTTATTTATTTAAACACATAAACATTGGTATAAAGAGGCACCAGATAGATATGCACCACATAAATCATTCGATTTATGTGAGGGCTGAAATACTGCTCGGTGCCAAAACCGATGCAGGTTATAACAGTAAATTATGTATATATACCACCAATTTACATTGTCAATTGTTATATAACTAGGTAGCGTTTCCTAATAGGCTGATAAGTCGCCCTAGGTCATCAGCGTAGTACACTTCAACCAGTAAGATTAAGCCATAAGCTCTTCAAGCATATCGAACAAGAACAGAAAACACAGATCTGAAAGAAGTTAAACCTGTGACAAATGCTACCGTCCTTTTGAAAAATGCACTTACGCCGAGTAAAAGGAATGACTTGTAACAACTAGCAACACTAATAGAGTCTAGTGTATTGATTCGTGTCAAGCCAGAGGGTACTTTGTGTACAAAAGGAGCATGCAGTGTAGCGTTAAAGCTGGAGATGAAAACATAAGATAAGGTGGGTCGATGACCCAGTAAGCGCGCACAATGCACTTGCGTCTTACTAGGGAGAGAAATGAACAACAACTAGAAATAACACAAACCTCATATTAAAACAAACTTAGAATCAAAACTAGAACCAAGAGATCCAACCCGTTACACAAGTTAAGTTCAAATTGACTCTTTTCAGTGAGCGGTTAACCTCAAGGTCTAACTCAGTTATTTACTTTCGTAAAACAGGTGGTTGGGTTCAAAAGGTTTTAGACTTTATATTCTGTTAGATGGGAATAGTAGCACTCAGAGTAATCTCCTTGATTCTAATAGAATCAAAGTTAATATCACACGTGTCAGGCAAGAGTCCAAATCTGCTCTGGCTTTTCTGAAAAGTGAGATAAAGTGCGTAGACTGGAGTCATACTTGTAGCGGTAAATAAATCCCCAAAATCAATAGCTCTGTAAGTCTTCAAAATCTGGTGATGACTGCATTAGTTTTAACGAACTCACCTGGCTGAATGCGCTCGGTCATGCGTCTGCTCCAGATCACGAGTGAGTACACCGTGCTTCTCATTCCCTACAACCACTAACCAGCTTAGACTAGTCACTTCTCGGTATACCGATATTCTGTTAGACTAATCTTCGAGCCTCTTTATTTCTGACCTCTGATTTTACAGGGTTATTGCGTTCCGATTAAAAATGGTGTTACCTGTTTAGTTGTTGTCAAACTCCAAATACTTGTAGTATTTATCTATTCATCGTTCTCATTCCATCTTTTATGTCATAACTGAGCCTTATGGTCATTTTTCCTCTGTATGTTCAACAATTTCTAGTTTTACGTTAAATCGTAGCGCGTACGTGTTCCAACGTCCATTACACGTGCGGCACGAAGCATCTTCAGGACTTTTTCCGTTCATTCAGTGGGCGAGTCTTGCATGTTAAAGCAGAATTTCCACATTAAATTCTGCTTCAGGCCCCTACTCTCACTTTGCACTATTTGTTCGTTTGGTTAGTTGTGAGGTGCTACAGCTTCGTGTTCAATAATCGATAGAAGCATAATGCTTGGGACGAGTAGTTTCCAAATGGTTCCAATGGATGTTGATGTAGTAGAAGAAACTTTCACTTAACTCAGTAGTGATGACCCTAAGAAGTGCCCAGCCAGACGTTTAAACACAATGCGTTTGTCGTTCGTAAACACTCTTCTAATAAATTGCTATGTTCAGCAGCGTCCGGTCGACTTTTCTTACTATAAGTGGCCGTGTGGTACAATATAGTAATGGAAAACAGGTATGTAAAAACTTTCGATTCATCGCAAACTTCGTCGGTTTTTCATCTTTTCCCGACGCTCTGAAAAAGAAAAAATAAAATTCTAGTGCGTGTGAACTTACACGTACGCGCACAAAGACATAAAACGTGCGAAAATAGGAAAATAAACTCATGTACATGCGTTTTGCAAACATGCAATAGCATAAAAACGATTTTTGCAGAATGAATTTTTCGTTGTATTTTGAAAAAATATATGCACATATTAGCATAACAGCAAAAACGAATTTTTCTTGTTTCTTTTAGAATAAAGAATATATGTGTGAACATATTGAGAATATTCGTTTTGTTTTTTCGATACTATAAAAAACATTGAGGCGAAATAAAGTGTTACGTCGTTTCCAACGTACAGAAATCGTTTAGTTAGTTCCGTTCTTATCGATTAGTACTTGAGTACACGCTGATGAGCTTCGTAAGGTCCTTCTTACGCCATTCCGAGTGGTCGTCGTAGTGAGTAACTACGTACAAAGGCGTGTGTAATATATCGTAGTGCAGGTCATTTGGTTGAGGTCGACTGGAGACAGGTTTGACTGAACGCATTGTTTTTGTAAGCATGTCCGTGTGAGAAGATGAAAGATTCACCAATTCTCCTGAAAATCGGAGTGTCGTTCCATAAACGAGTTGAACTGCAGTGTATCCGATGTCAGCTTTTACTGCATTGCTGATACCGAGAAAAATTAGTGGAAGAGCGTCGGTCCATTGCTAAGCGTCTGCAGCTGGGAGTGAAGCTTTAAGCTGTCGGTGAAAGCGTTCTACCAACTCATTTGCTTGTGGGTGGTAGACAGTCGTTCTGAATTCTGTGATTTCTAATAATGTAGTCAGACAACGGAAAAGTCCAGATTCGAACTAGCGTCCACGTTCCTTAGTGATAGTTGAAGGGCAGTCGAAATTCGCTGCTCACAGATCGACGAAGGCGCGGATGGCTGCTTCATCAGTAACGTCCTTGATGGGTACTTCTTTTGACCACCTAGTGAATCTGTCCGAAAATGTTAGGAGATAAGAGTACCCATTTGAATCTGGTAAAGTTCATACCGAATTCAGATGAACGCGATCGAAACGATCACTGGGAGCTTGAAAGAGTCTAATGGACACGTGTAATGTCTAACCACCCTGGATTTCTGACAGCTTACACAGAAGCGAGTCGGATCTGTCTCGTCAATATTTATGCTGAGCTAACAAAATCACTTTGCTATGAGGCTTGATGGATGCACGAACACCTGGATGAGAAAGCTTATGCAGCATATTGAAGACGTTGCACCGATAATGTTTCGGCGATCCCTACCTGTGGATGTGTTGCACAGCAGAGTCTATTTACTTGTTCCCATCTGTTTAATACGTAGTCTCAGGGTTGTGGAAGATAACTGGTGCATAAGATCAGTGTTTTCTTGTTGAATCTGGGCGAATTTAAGTACGTCTATCCCTTGGAAACTGTTCAAGAAAGTTGTGCAAGACAAAGAGCCTTCAACGGCATTTTTTCAGAAAGGTATATACAAAGCAAACTGCGAAATTTAGTCTGATTGTCGAGATTCCCGAGTGGAATGCTTGTCTGAAGATAGGCTTAACGAGAAGTTAGGATCTTTTTGGATGGTGAAAAAAAGTGAATTCTCAGCCTTCCACAGAGTTTCGAAAGTACCGTACAGCACAATACATGAATAGGAATTCCCAACGGAAAGCGCCATACCTCGACACTATGTCTAGCAACCGTCTCGAGAAAACTAACAAAGATTGTCGGGTGTAGGTAGTCAATTGTTGTAAGGCTCCGCCGATTTCCTAGCTGGATGCGATATTAATGAGTGCTTTGGTGTTCTGATGTGTGAGAAATGTTACTTTGGCAATCAGTTCCTTATCTATGAAGAATGCTTTTTCTCGATATCGTCCAAATTGATGGATTCCATATATCCACGAAGTTGGTTTGTTAGAGGTTTCATAAGAGAGGCGCAATTTGGTATGGACAATTTATAGAAACTTACTAAGCCATTAAACGTGCGTAACTGCTTGATTTCGGTCGGTTCTGAGTAATCCAGAATGGTCGCTACCTTGCTTTTTAGCGGTCGGATGTTTTGATCATCAGTAGTATGTCCGAGAAAATCTAGAGATTCAGTGTCGAGTTGACATTTCTGAATGTTTACAGTAATGCCGTGATTTTATAGTAGTTCGAAAACAAGGTTCAGAAAATGGAGATGAGATTCTCTGTATGGACTGTAATGAAGCAGTCACTGAAATACTCATCTATGAAGTTTAGACCTCAAAAATCTTCATGGATGAATCTCTGTAAAGTTTGTGCGTCATTTCTTAAGCCGAAAAGCATGCACGAAAATTCGTAGAGACCGAAACGAGTGATGATATCGGTTTCAGGAATGACGTCAGGAGCAGTGAGTATTCGGTTATACGTGTACAATCATGGTCTACGATGATATTAATAATGCTCTAATAATAGACATAATCATGAAATGGTAGATTTGTCATGATGTAACTTCCTAATCTATAAGATCTTACGTGGAAGTCGCAACACTGTCTACACTGACTCAGCGTATCTTAACAATTACCAATATATGATGGAGAACGAATTCAGGCAAAAGATAGAGCAATATATTTAATATAAGGTAACATTCAACGGGGACCACGCCCGCAAGGTCGAACCATGCAATCCAATCAACTCGAATTAACTCAATCCATTGTCTCCGCCTTATCCACCGTTGGTTTTTTCTCCGCATCACACGTTAAACATCCGTTTTCCCAGTTGTCTCGTGTTCAGCACTTTGAGTTGTGTGGTTAGAACCCAAGGCCACTATATATGCTTCAACCAAATGGGTTTTCGAAAAAAATAGTTGTAATGTTTGTGGTAGCTGTGAAATCGTGAATGTGAGGTGACGGGTAACGATCAGGAATGGCTTTCGCATTTCGGCGCCAATATCCACCAATCAGACGCCAGGCGTTACTATCCTTTCTGGGGACTATATATAACGGAGATGCCCACGGACTGTTTGATGGCCGAACGATTCCTGAGTCTATCATGTGGTTTAATTCGTTTTTGGCCAACCTCGGCTTCTCGGAACTAGTCGGCGCACTTTCGAGAACACAGGTCGTCCCGCAGCCGTGATGTGATGAGTAACATTGCTGATTACGCATGACGATTTTGGTAGCGTTTGGTATATCTCGGGGTACTTACCGAGTAATTGTTGATAGCATGGATCGTTCACGTGCCTTACTGTGACTGAGGAGGATCTACTACCAGAAGAAGCTACATATACATACAATTTAGTATTTCCGTTTACTAACCCCGATTTTCCCGTGTCGATTATGATGTTATAGCAAGTCTGTGATTATGATTGAAACATCTGAAACAACGAAGACCCAGAGTGAATAGTTTTGCGTAAACCCGCGTTAAGTTAAGCATATCGCTTACCATATGTGGCAGTCGGTTTCATATTTGCCACCTGTAAGTTGAAAACTGCCTGACGCGGTCGGTCATTAGGATTCGCTGGAAGAACGCTAACTTCTGCGCCGCTGTCGCCAAGGTAGCGAACTTTCGTAGTCACATCAGTGATGTATAACAGACAGTTGTGTTCACTAGCTACGGTTGCCATTAACACGTGCCGACTGGGAAGCTTCCTGAAACGTTTCTCGTGTTGGTCGGCTTGTGACTAGGGAAACAGCACAGTTTTCTGCACTTTAGAGAAGATTTTCAGTACTGTTTATGGTACCAACACTAAGAAAGGTTATCTATCTCTCGTGACCTAGAGCCTGATAATTTTGTGAAGTACCCCTCCAAGGAGTTTGAGATCATTTACAGTCACGACAAATACTAAGG